GCATAGTCTCGCTCGTCGGAAGACTGCGGGTGTGACAGTGTGTTGGGATGGGGCCTGTTTAGGGTGTAGAGTTGATCTACATGGTGGCCCCCGGCTCAGAACAGATGGCTCTTGCTAACATAAACCAATTCATGCCGGGAAGGCCCCAAGCGCTGAAACCATGAATCCCCACTTTCAACCCTTTTTTAAGCCAAAAAGCCCTCAATCTAAACTACCGCCGGATGGACAACATCTGCATTGCCATAGAGTGCCATAGAGACCCAAAGCCGCAGCCGTGGGAAATAAGGTACATTTCCCCTTACAGGCGTCGCCGTGGGATTGTGCCCACCAACAGCAGAAATACATCTGGCATCCCTCCCGAGCTGATTATGAGTCGCTTTGGCCATGGAACCGAAGAGCAACCTTCTGAAGACAGCTTTTCAAGCTATGCATTGCTTCAGGGCTGAATGTTGATAGGGCGTTGCTCCTGTCTTTGGTTAGTTAAGTGAAGCGGCAGCATCAGTTTTGAGTTTACACCCTTCCCTTCGCAGAAGTTTGCAATCCAACGTCCGTGACTGACACATCGAGCCCACGGCGAAGAATGCGATTTGTTGCCCGCCTGATCTTGGGCCGCCCACGGAAGAGGCCTGAAACACAATGACGGGGCGTGCGCAATTTGAGCTCTTCGAAAGATGTTCTCAGGGCCCACGAGGCTTAGGGCTTGCGGTTTCCATGTTCAGGATAATAGCGTCTTTCTGGAAACCTGGGATGATCAATGCTTTTCGTTGTAGCTTTCAGCCATCCAAGGTTGATTGTAGGAGAGTTTAAATTTAGGGTTTAGGGCTGGAGGGTTGAGGGTTTAGCGTGCACAGGGCTTCTGCCATTGCCAGGTGATTCGGGCGCTGCTGCCAAAAGAACTCAACCGGAGCTCCCGATGCAGTCAGGTGCATCTGTACCGTGAAGCTGAAGCCCACTCCTAGATATGCAACATTTCGCAGCGGAGGAAAGTCGTCCACAAAATGCCTTCAAAACCTCTTCATGTGGGAGGGAGCTTGCACCGCGGGCCCTGACTAGGATCCATATGTTGTGTCCCTGATTTTCTGAAGCTCCCATGCGGGATCAGAACCAGAGATCTGAAAATTGAACCTTACGGGCCCCACACTTAGGAAAGGGCCTGGGTGTATATTATACTATAATATTGTAGTAAGGAACCACCAGAATGGTGTGGGCAATTTACTAAGGCCCCTATATGGTATTGAGCTCTGCTCAAGAATCGACTGGTATCCCACGGCTCCAACATGTGCTCCAAGTACTGATATTCTGGGTCCTTTAAAGTCAAACACCAAACTACTTACGGTCTGCGGGGCCATTTGTTCAGCCCGCCGGCTATGACAGTTATCTTAAACACAAACACGAAGCCCATGATTCCAATTGCTCTTCAGAAACAACACGCTGCCGAGTGGAGGCATTCAACAACTCCCAAAAGCGGTCAGTGGTCAGACCAAGCACAACACGAACAAAGAGGCCTTACACGAGGGGTCCCACAGGAAGACGAAACCCCGAACCTTCAGCTTTCGATCTTACGCCAGGGATATAAGGCCCTCGCCCTCAACCTCGATCCCAAAGCCTCTCAGCCATAAACTAACTCGAGCCCCGCGCCCAAGTACTACGGCGGCCTGAACCATGAGAACAGGTGGGACATACTTGAACAATACTTCAGGCTTCTGCAGAAGAAGCCCCTGTCACAAGTTAACCTCACTTTGCAGTGCAAGCGGCCCTGAACACGCGCGGTTCCATAGCTTCCAAAAGCGTCCAGCCTGGTTGCTCTCATGTTAAGAAACTAGGAGAGGCTTCTAAAGCCTTTGAAACATATTAGTAGGTAAGATCTTCTAAATCCTAAACCCTAAACCCTTAAGCCCAACAAGAGCAAGTATAAAATGTCCCATAGCCCTACCTACTTGTAGTAAAGGGTCGGAGCCTCGAAAGCTTCTCGGAAGCTTGGGAGGGCTTCGGCTTTCCAAGCTTTAGGGTCTTTAGGGTTTAGGGATTCAGGGCCTTTGGGGCTTTAGGGTTTTGGGATTTAGGGATTTAGGGCCTTTAGGGCTTTAGGGTTTAGGGCCTTAGGGCCTTTGGGGCTTTAGGGTTTTAGGGTTTAGGGCCTTTAGGGCTTTAGGGTTCAGGGCCTCGGGGCCCCGAACCTCTGGAGCCTGTGGGCTGTCGCCCCCGCACCCTGGAGCCTGGACCTTCACTTGTCTGGGCCTCCAATCTCTGTAGGGAGATGAAGAAAGGCTGAAATCCGAATTTAATCCGATTTAAATTTGAAATTCAACCATATACATCTCTGTAGTCTCGGGCTGTACTTGAAGGATCATGGGACTTAGTAACTAGGGTTATATTTTTCAAGGTAACTATACTTCTAACGACCTAAAACCCCAATTAAGGTACTTGTAACCATACTTACTAAGTCCCATGATCCTCCAAGGAAGCTGACAGCTGACCCCACTCCAAAGAGCACTCCGCTCAGTCTGGGGTGGGTGCAGGCTGTAGGGTGGAAGCGTTCGACAGATCACTCTACACAGCTGACCATTTTGAGCTTCAGGGCTTGAGCATCACGCAAGACCCTAAACTCTAACTCTAAACCCCAAACCCAAACCCCTAAGGTTTAGAGCTTTTAGGGCTCACCTGCTAAGTTACAAACCCCGAAAACCAGGGCGCAGCTTGCTCTGAGCCTACAAAACAGCTAGGCTGCAGGATTGAGTGGTCTAATTTTGATGCAATCAGACAGCTCGTTTATGAAATACTATTACGACTTATTCAAACCCATATACTACCTGAAGGATCATGGGACTTAGTAACTAGGGTTATTATTAAGGTAACTATATTTCTAACTACTTAAAACCTCAATTAAGGTACTTGTATCCATACTTACTAAGTCCCATGATCCCCAAGTATTGATGAAGCTCAGTTCACGGCCCCTCTTTCAAAGGAAGATGCAGTGGCAGCGACATGGCAGAACTGCTCGAGGATGAGTTTGCTTCCTACTGTTCCCGGCAAGTGTACAGAAGCTGCATGTCAAGGTCATCGGATGGCCTTCGAAACCCTGAACCCTAAACTCTAAACCGTGGGAACCGGAATTCCAGTAACGACCGGTCTTCCTTTAGCCGGTGCGAGGGCAGCGTTCGTTTGCGGACCGTTGGCTCGTCCGCGGGTAGTGTTCGGTACACGGATCTGAGAGCCGAAAGGACGGCCAGGGAAATTCAGGTTCCGCTCGCAAAGAGATGAAATTCCATGGTTGCTGGAGCAACTGCACTCCCGGATAGGAAAGGGCTCGAAAATCAAGACAGTACACTCAGTACGCGCAACTACCCTAAACCCTAAACACCGAAAACCCTGAAACCCTACTAACCCTAAACCCTGAACCCCTGAAGTCTAAACCCCCATTAACCCTCAACCTAAACCCTACTACCTCATGTCAGGCTTCGCGAAAGCCAGAGAACCTAAGAGTCTCTGGAGGTCGTGTTTGCACCCTTGTTGCCCTTTAGCGGTTTGGGGTTTAATTAGGGGTTTAGGGATTGGGGGTTTAGGGATTGAGGGTTTTAGGATTCAGGGTTGAGTCACGGACCCTACTACTTGGGTAGTTGTCAAAATTAGGGCCCTGTTTTGGGTCCTTATTATAATACGGCACCTAATATGTAGGGCCCCAAAAAGGGACCCTAATTTTGACAACCACCCACTTCCTGCTCGGGATCGTTCAGTAGGGATAATGTCTGCTTCATGCACGACACGTTGTTGCGAGCATCATAGCTCGCTGATTGCTGGTTCAATTCCGGCTTCATGCTCTGCTCTTCAGCGGGCGGCTGCTGCGACTGAGGAGTTGCAACTTACGCGAGACACGAGACCCAACAGACCTCTACAGACTCGACATCTGAATCATCATCATGTCAGCGAGTGATGTGAAATATTCAAGGCAAAGGCGTAATGAAGAATGCCATGAACATTAGCAAGCACACATAACATCTGTTTTCCCGGAAGCGCTCAAAACGAAAGACATGCGACCTCGGAACATGCACATTCAAACGGGATGTTGCACCCGTGGGCTTAATGCCGATGTCCGCACGTGTGCCAAAGTGGCATCTCGCCCCATCGATTGGCTTCGAACCAAAGTCCACATCAGAGAAGCTTGGGGCAAGATACTATCGGGACCGAAAAATAATTAGAATAGGCTTTTGGGGCCCGTTATACTATACTTATAGTAAGGAACCCCCGAAATAGTATTGGTAGTTATATAGGCCCCTACATTAAGCCCTTAAACCCTAAACCCTAAGTCCGAAATCCTGAACCCTCAAAAAAACCAAGGATCACCCGCTGCTTTGCAGCCCTAAACCCACCATTAAACCCTATCTCATCCCTTACACCGTTTAGGGAATGACTGCTGAACTATGGACTTCCCGTCTTTAGGGTTTAGGGTTTGGCTTTGCATCATCTAGATGCGCTTTGCTGTGTCACAGGGATCGATTCTGAGGATCGGACACGTCGGCATGAAAACAGCCGGCGGATGGCTTCAAGAGAAGGAGGTTGATGCAGGTGGGACTGAAATTTGCAGGACTTTCTCGGCTGTGCGCTCTATGTGTCCAAAGTGCTCTGCAGATGCTCGGAATTGGGATCATAGTAATGAGTTCTAGGCCACTACTTGGGAAGTCGATGACCCTGTACTACAGGGGCCTTAATAATTAGAATATTGGTTTGGGGGTATATTATACTATACTTACATTTCAGAACCCCCGAAACCCCATTCTAATTATTAAGGCCTCTGCGTTATAGTACCCTAGCCCTTACGGGCTGCTTTAACGGAACCCTAGTCTAACTATTTAGGCCCCTACAGTAGATCAACCTCCGGAAAGCGGGCCAAGGTGGGAATCTTTGCCTCGAGCAAAGACTCCACCGGCAGCGCTCTGAAATCGCGGCAGCCGGGAGGAACCGTTCCGGCAAAGAAACGGCTTAGGGGTATGCGGTTTTCAGGATCACCTTGCCACTAGAGCCTCAACCCTAAACCCTGAACCCCTAAACCCCTAAACCCTAAACCCTAAACCATTGGATGCTCTCAATCTTGGGGTTGCAGGTAGAACTGCTCCTTGGAACGGATCCCAATAGCCTCGCTCACGCGCTCTGGCAATCCTCTGGCCGGACCTGGTCAAAGCAACGCAGACGCACTTAGGAACCTCAATACTTGTAATGAATACTCGGAATGGGTTTGGGAGTATTAAGGTGCAGTTAACCAAGTATATGATACTGTATGCATATACCTCTTTGTACGTACATGTACATGCGCGCACACATAGCATATGCACCAAAAGGCACCAATGCAGTAGCAAAGGACCTTCGAACCTTCTAGACCTCCGTGCATAGTTTCGGGGGCACATTGCAAATCAGCATCCCGAAATCGTGCTGCGCCAGTGAGGTGCATCTTGTTTCCACCTCCGACAGTCGCGCCCCTGACGAGCCCCTTGCAGTTCATGTCAGATTGCATTGTTCTTTCATATACTATGCAATACAGTATGTAGTATGTTTCCCGCTACCTAAATCTTGCAGCCGCCATGGTGCTGTGCGTTTTCTAGGCTGCCAATCCTGCTCCCACCACCGTCTGGGACTCACAGCGGAGGGCGGGGTGGTAAAGGTACAAGTTCAGAAATATTATATACGATATACACATAAGTACATACAAATATAAATATGTACACATATACCTATGGCTTATGATATTCAAGTTGGCATGTGATACAAGACATATGGCATGTGACAGATGACAGACATATGATATACGATATATGGCATGTCGCACATGATATGTGACATATGGCATATGATGTACATAATATACATATATATATATATATACACACATCATATTTGTATACATATATATATATATGTATTATCCCTTAACCCTGAACCCTCAACTCTAAGCCACTGACCGCTAAAGTTCGGGAAAGCCACTTGAAATTCCGCATCCCCCGAATCGGCCGTGAGGACCTCGGGTGCATCAGGCAGAGAGGTGAGGGAGCACGAACTGCTCGAAAACGTCTTCCGACGTTAACCTGAGCCATCTGTTTTGCTGGGATCAATTCAACCTAAGGCCTAGGGCCGAAATTTGAGTTTCAGATGACAAGGGCCCTCATGCAAACTCTGAACCCTAAACCCTAAACAGCAGCATCCTTTGTTGAATTGCGCATGCAACGATGGGTTTGGGCTGCCAGTACCGGCAAGGGGGAGTCGCGCGCCTAAACCCTGAGCCCTGAACCCTAAACCCCTAAACCCTGAACCCCTAAACCTTAGACCCCTAAACCCTAAACCCCGAAACCCTGCACCCCTAAACCCCTAAACCCTAAACCTTAAACCCCTAAACCCTGAACCCTAAACCCTGAACCCTGAACCCAAAGCTCTCCGGCTGTTTGTTTGACTTCAGATGACCCTCCATGCTTTCGCCCCCCCCCTCCGCCAAAATAGTATTAAATCAAAACACTAAGAATGACAATCTAACAAAATATTAGCAATAATAATAATGGCGAAAACATAATTTTATCTAAAACGATAATAATGACAATCTCATGATATTAACAATAATAATGGCAAAACAGAATTTGTTTAAAACAATAGTAATCGCAATCTCATAATATTAACAATCAGCATAGAAGGGAGATGTCTCGCCTAGCCCCTGAATCCTGTTCCCCTCCTCAGGGCATAGCTTTACAGCTCAACGTTACCCCAAGGGTCCAAAGGACCCAATAAATAGGTACTCGGTTTGAGGATAGTAGTTATGTAACTTAGGATTTTGGAGAGTATATGATTATCAGGTACTCGGACCCTTGGGGTTACCTCAACCGTCGTTCGACTTCATTGGGCGTTAGATATATGGGAGTTTCCGAAATTAGGGGTACCTTGTTTTGGGGTCCTTTTAAGAAGGCTCCTACTACTTGGGGGAGTATATTAGGGTCCCCTATTTTTTGGAAACTCCCATAGGTGTGGTTGTCAAAATTATGGCCCTTTTTGGGTCTCTTATATACTTCACACCTATTATTCCGGGTACCCAAAACGGGACCCCTATTTTGACAACCACCCATATGGGTTTAGGATTCAGCTTTTCAGCTTTAGGGTGGGTGTCAGACTGTTTGCAAATCTCATGTAATAAGGGTACTATAGGGTTCCTTTAAGGGATCTATTAGGGTTACTATAAGGGTACTATAGGGTTCCTTTAAGGGACTTCTCTCGGCCGTGGGGCCACTGTTGGTGTTCGACGCCCGGGACGGCCAGGACATGCAGCTTTCCAGCATCGTGCAGCGTCTTGAGGCCGAACGTGTCCTGACTCGGGAATCTTTAGGGTTTAGGGTTTAGGGTTTAGTGTAAGTGCACGATGTCATGGCGTCGTGGTGTTCGGCTAGCTGGCTTTGAGTCTGGTTTGAAGACAGCCTCTACAACTACATCTGCGCGTGGAACATTGAGGCCATCGATGTTACGTTGCTCCTAGAGTATTAGAGGCCCAACCCCTAAACTTTAACCCCTAACCCTCATGCTTGGAACGTTTGGGGGGGCACTACACCGATTACCTTTTGTCACGCTTGATGCACTCGCACGGAGGTTTTCCGGGCAACGGGAGTCCTCTTAGCTTAAAGCCCCAATCTGGGTCGGAGAGTAGGACGAGGCATTCCGGGCATTCTGTGGTCTCTTAAGCCACATGCTTAGAGCAAGTGTTCAGGCATTTGGGGGCTTTAATCAAGAGCTAGAGCAGGGTAGTTTCATGAACTTCTTCAGACCCCGACATTACAGAACCGTTTGCTTAGAGCCATCGAAAGACTGCTGGTTCGCGAACTGAACAGCCAGAACGATAACTAACAAGCTGCCAGTGTGGACGGATAGCTGCCCTGGTATACGATCGTCTGCGAGTGCTGCATCAACTCAAGCTTGCTCGGTGAACAGCCTTTGGGGCCATCTCTAAACAGTGAAGCTTGCATAGCTCGGAGCTGCCCCAGGAAAATCAGGCAGGGTCCACTCTCAGATGACGAGGCTGTAGAACCACCGTTATCCTACTTATAAACTCTCATTACTAATTAAATATGCATGAACCTGGAGAAAGGATTCGGGTTCGATCGGCTCCGTATTCTGCATGACACTCCACGAGGGCCCGCAGATGAAGAAGACCGTTTAGGGTTTAGGGATTAGGGTTTAGGGTTGCTGGTGTCCTGCTTGAAGATCGGCTGCTCCTCCATCGGGACAATCTTCGAATCCGAACCTGCTTATCGAGAGGATGTTCATTCAGCAGAGCAAGCGTAGAGTTTCAGATGTTGTTTCAGGATTTCAGGTCCCTGGGTTCCAGGCCGTGGAACGAAACCCAAACCCTAAACCCTAAGAAACAGAGTGCTCGAGAGGAGCGACGTGACATCCCTTTCGCCTTCACTTATATCTACTATTACTACCATTCTTCCATTCCCTACTAACCAAAGGTAAGCTCAAACCTCCAGACTGAACCAGTAGGCTTTCATGCGGGCTTTCAGGAGTTTGTCGGTTTGATTTGGGGCTCAACTTCTTTGCTTTTGGCTTGGGGAGGTGCGGGGTTTCAGGCCCGGGCAGTGAGGAGAGAACTAAAAAACTGCGGCAGAGCTTTGGAAGATTTCGGCCTTCCTTCTCGATGAAGACAGGTCTGGCACAGGGTGAGGGCGGTGTATCCGAATGCAACCCATCTTCGACGGCCCGCATGAACAAATCGTCCCCTAGCAAAATGGAAGCAGGCATGTGTGTCTTTGTGTGTGCGCGGCGGGAGGGTGAGGACAACGGCACGGCAGGCGATGACCTCTTTGACCGGGCGTCCCATTGCTTAGGTCCACATTGCGAGCACCAGGTCACTACTTAGTGGCCACTGGCGAAGGACAACCTTGATTCAGGCTTCCTGTTCTACCCCAACATCAGTGGTGTGTACCAAATTATCCTGAGACCTTTCCATAATCATGGCTGCCGGTAGGGTGGCAGCAGCCCCAAACCCGAAAGCCCCCCCCCTCTAGCGGACTCTAACCGGAAGTCCCAAACCCCAAACCCTGAAACCCCAACACTGAACCTAAAACCCCAAAGCCAAAAACCCCTCAACTTAAACCCCTGAACCTGGAAAGAACCCTCCTGTAGCTACCCTCGAAAGAACCCTCAAAGAGAACTTCCATGAAGGCGCCTTCCTTGTAGAAGCCTGGGGGATGGACCGTCTTGAGGGGTTCAGGTCAGGGTGTAGGGTCCAGGATTTTTTCGAGAGCCTTTTTCCATCCCGCAAAGGTCTGGAGGTCTGGAGAGCCACATAGGTTTCAGGGTTTAGGGTTTAAGGTTTTTTTGGAGGGGGGGGCAATGCACGGGCCTTACAAGCAAAACGAAGCGCCCGAAGGAATAATAGAACTGATTGTTTAGACCTGGATAATACAGGGGGGTTGGGGATACGGAGGTTCCAAGTTGGGTGCGGCGGTTCGGGTTGACGGCTCAATATTGGGCCTTGACAATTGCAATAGGGTTTCGAGCAAGTTAAAGTATGAACATAATCAGGAACCCTGAGGAAGAATAGTGAGGATTTAACAGGCTTCTACAGTAGGGTCTGTGATCTATGGAGCCTCGAACAGAGGAAGCAGCATGAGAGTGCTCAAGCCGGGCCACCCAAACAGGAAATCTGCAATCGGAAACCCGAAACCTGAAAAAAATAATAGAATAGGGTTAAAAACCCTGAAAAATTGAAGAGAAAAGGGTTCAAGGTTGCGTGTAACACCCCCCATGTTGAGTCGGTACTGGCCGAACCGCAACTCTTATTCGGTAGGTCGCCGCAGGATCGCTTATTACCAAAGCGGCATAGTCTTTCGGGTAGCCGGGCAGGGAATGCAATTTAGGAGTTTCCGAAAATAGGGGACCCTAGTACAGCACCCTACATAGTAGGATCCTTATTACAAGGACCCCCTAAATACAGTACCCTAATTTTCGGAAACTCCCACTTGGGTAGTTGTCAAAATTATGTTGGGGTACCCTAAATAATAGGTGCCGTATTCTAATAGAGACCCAAAGAGGGACCATAATTTTGACAACCACGCATTTAGAGAACACCCCAACCAGCAAGTGCTTCCGCGCGGCCGAACACGCCCGTTTGCCATGGTTCCAGGCCCAACTTCCTCTCTAATTCAAAGGGTTTAGGGTACAGGGGCCATAAAAGAAACCCGAAACCCTGAACTCTGGACCGGTTCCGACATGGGGATGCCGGACCCGAGCTACTTTGAGGATTGGAGAGATTGTTTGAACTTAATTGTTTTGGCGAAGAGAAGCTCTTGCTGTCTGGTCTGAACAAGGGCTCCTACTGTTGATGATACAAATCCTGCATTATCCATAATAAGGAATATCCCGTAATTTCCCTAGTTTAGGGTCCTTAAGGTAATGCAGGAATTGTATCATCAACCGTAGTCTTCGACAGAAGTTGATAGGACTTCACAGGATGTGATACTGCAGCAGTCCGAGGGGCGTCAGAGTACCTACAGCACTTCCAGTCACTAGTTGGGACCCGACTGTGATATTAATTTTGCGTTGCATCGTGTACCTGAGTGTTGCGGAGCTGCGAACCAAAGGCTCCAACCTGAAAATGACGAACACCGAAACAACCGCAGGAGCATATGAAGAATGATGGGTTAGCAGTGCATCCCGCGACAAGCAAAAGGGGCTAACGGTCACGAGTCACAAGTGTTACTTTTGCTGATTGAAACAGGTGCAGTACAGTGCAATTAAGATGCAAGAAACAACTTAAATTTTACTCAAGACGGCGATGCCATCAGTATGCGCGAACTCACACATATATGTACGACGTCAACAGTGGCGGTGAAATCCCTCAGACACCCTCCCACCACGACTGGACTTCTAATGCTGGCTGACACAGATGAATCGTGAAAGCAAGGAGCCCTAACCCTAAATCTTGAACCTCAGCCATAATTACTTCTCACTGCGGAGCTGGCGAACATACTACGACAGAGAAGCAGCTACAACCTCGCCAAGGGTCGAATCGAAGCTGCGTCGGAAAGCACCAACAAGAAACCTCAGGCTACTCTTAACTGGCCCGGTTAGCAATTTGGAGCTCTCGGCAACGAGGTGGGTGTGTGTGTGTGTGTGTGTGTCACGTACGCTTTCCACGTAAAGTTAAGACAAGCTGTGGAAATCGTTCGACAGGTTTCGAGGTGGTGTAAGGAACATCCGGCATGAACTCGAAACCCTCCGTTTTGATCCAACATGGTTGCGATGATGGAACCAGTGAAATGCAAACAGCTTACAGCTTCTGGCTTTGCGTTAAAAAAAGCCTCGAGTTTAGGCCTAGGCTTGGCTTGGTAGGCTGAGGACATGGGGCGCTTACAGTAGAAGCCAGAAAGTTGGAATATCATTATCGTAACCCCTTGAAGGTAAATTATAGGGGATCCCACCATTAATCCATATTCCAACTTTCTGGGGTTCCCTTTAAGGCCTGGGTCTGGGGAACGGAGCCACCTTCAGAGAGCTTCTGCTCGGAGGGATGCTCTGATGGCTTTTGATCCTACCGTGAGTGAGATCAGAGGACAGTATCCAGGTACATATGGCAGTTTCCGAAAATAGGGGACCCAAATATATTGCCCTAAATAGTAGGATCCTTACTATAAGGACCCCAAAATAAGGTACCCCTAATTTTCGGAAACTCCCATATACCGCAACCCTTCTTGGCTTTTCAAAGGGTCATGTCAGTCATGCCGCTTGATTGGCACGATGTCGCTGCTGACGAGGGTGCCGGGCGGCAACAAACATGACACTGGCTGCATGAACTTCGAGAGTATGCAGAGGAGTTTTCGAAAGCCCTCCATCTCTGAAGACTGAGACGATCACATAACGCTGCCATTGACCTGCAAGCCTCTGAAATTGGAACTTCTCGCGTTGATGAATCCTGAATCTGAGTGCTGAGCGCCTCGATGACTCTGACTCTGGTGCTGCTGCAAGTTCCGGATCTAAACCCTAAACCTTGAAATCCGAGGCTAAACCCTAAACCCTGAACCCTACCCCCTAAATGCCCAAAACTCTCACGGCTCAGGCGGAGTGCACAGCGCGCCGCAACCGCGCAAAGTTCGCGTGGCGCTGCGCGGCGACCTGGTCGGGGGCAGTCCTATCAAGCTACACTCGGCAGCACTGCTCGGCCTTGGGATGAACATGACGACGATGATGATGATGGCGGTGATGGCGATGATGATGATGGTAATGCTTATGATGACAACGATGAGGGTGATGAGAATGACAATCATGATGATGATCGTGATGCTGCTCGTGCAGAATTCAAGGAGTAGATGAGCGCTACAGCGGCTACTTGCCACAAAATGTCACATGCGGCCGAATCTCTGAAGCTTGTCGTGTGACCGACCCGGTACCTATAGCCTCAGGGTCTCAAACTTCTCCGTAACAACTTCAGTTAGTGCCGACATTTTGCTAGGAAAGCAATACGTACTGCACAAGCCTGACGCCTAGAATACACTACACATAACCTGCACATAACATACATGTGTGCACTCTACCATTCACCAAGATAGTCATGTGCAACCGGACACGTACACGGCCTCCTCCATTTCGCCATTCGCGCGAGGCAAGAAGGTCTCAGCACAGCTTCAAGAAGTTTGGGGGGGACGGTGGATGGATTCACAAGAATAAACCTTGGACTGTACTCGCGGATCTGGCTTTCAGGGTTCACCGGAGTTTAAGACCGTCGGAATGTCTTGTGTTTAGAGAGAGGTGTACGGCTTGGGGCGTTGACAGAAGAATGGGCTTGAGCATCGGGTGGGTTCGACCCGTGCTGCCGAGGCACATTGCCGGTAAGGTACTCGTGCACGTGCATAGGGTCGTGCCACAGGTTCGCCAGCCTGGAAATGCATCGTCACCCCAACCCTACACCCTAAACCCAAACTTCAGAACTTTCGACCTACGTGGGTTTTACATCCATAAAATGCGTCCCTTTTAAAGACACCCGTTACCCCCTCATGACTGATGAGGCGACCCAAAGCCCCGGAGAAACGAGAAAAAGAAAAAACAAGTCGAACTTCGGAGTATGAAATAAGCAATGCATTGTAGTGAAATACTACAACAATAGAGCATGAGAATATTTAACCCCAAATATCACAATATCAAACTTCACATAGTAGTTTATGTAATAAGAATACAGTAGTAATATACTGTGAAAATAGAACCCTCAATCTGCTTTGAAAGCCCCAAACCCCTAGACCCCAAAGCCTGCACGTTAAAGCTTCCCT